TCCGTTGACCAGAAGTAAATCTGGTAAGAAATATCTTTTAACCATTATGTGCACATCCACCCAGTTTCCAGAAGCCTTTCCATTATCCACAATAACAGCAGCCGGGGCTCATTCTGATTTAGGTGTTTTTGTTAGATTAGCTGTGGACCTTTAGTTAGATTATCTTTGGATTAGAGAAGGACTCTTTAGTTATCTTTAGCCTTTAAGAGGATGTAACATGGTTGTAATATGTAATATTCCATAAAAATATGGATGATCAATTTTATTGAATCTTTAAAATTAAATTGATGATGAAACTAGGTTATTAGCTTGGGGTCTTGTTGACAAGTGAGGGAAAAATGGAGCATGAGATCCATAGGCGTATTGGTGCTACATCTGCAGTGATGCGGGTGTTGTACTGATCTGTCGTGGTGAAGAGAGAGCTAAGCCGGAAGGCAAAGGTCTCGGTTTAGTGGTCAAACTACATTCTTAACCTCAACTATGGTCACTGCTTTGGGTAGTGACCGAAAGAACAAGATCGCGGATACAAGCGGCCAAAATGGGTTTTAACCACAGAGTGGCTGGACTCTCCCTTAGAGATAGGGTGAGAAGCTTGGTCATCCGGGAGGGGCTTGGAGATCCGTTGCTCCTCCACACGGGCACGTCCAGCGGGCATGGGCACATCTGGGCCTCTTGACTTAGGCCAAAGGCATCAAACTCAGGCCCTCGGACCAAATTTGGCTCACGGTAAATTTTTATTTGGCCTGCGAGATCAAACATAAAAATTTAATAAAACTGGTTCGCTGGCCCATTTTCCGCAAAGACTACAAGTCCCATAAGGCTTTGCAGTGTTAATGCATCAGTCAAAGTGCTACCTCCTTTCTGTTTACAGTCATTAGCATACTAGAATTAGTTTCTGCAGTGATACCCTCCTCAGTTTTAAGCTGAAAATGCTCCTTAGTGTCGAGTTAACTCAGCAATTTGCCAACTGTGAAGCCCAGAAATTGTGATTTCAACCGCTCTTTAGTCCGTCTGTGGCTGACCTGGAAAGAGCACCAACCAGCCTCCAGACGGAGCTGAATGAAGTCCAGTTAAGTGACACGCCCAAGTCAGAGTATGACTCTGTGGCTGCTACAGTTTTTATCTCTCCTCCCTGACACACCGAGCCAACTCCGGCCTTAGCTGCTCAGATGCTCTCCATGTTTAGCAGCTCATATGTGAGCAACTGTTGTCTATAAAGATGATGATCAACACAGGAGTCTAATTTAAAAGGATAACTGATCATTATAAAACCACATGCAATGATGATAACAACTAAAGGCGTGTCCCTTTTCATGAGAAACATGGTCATTTCTATGCTTGCTGGTAGTGTACATATTTATTGCAACTTTGAATGCACAACAGAAGTTAATCTCTATTCAATAGCAGTTTTTTATAGTTTTGTGACAATATCTTGATCCATGCAAAGGAGACATTTGCCCTTACCAAGCACCTGCTCAGCACTACGCCGCTGCAAGGAGACACATTTGAGGACTGCAACACACAATGCCCTGAAGCAGTGGTTAACACCACCACTGAGGCTTATGCAGTGCTGAACAAAAACAAGCTGAAAACTGAACTGTCAGTCATTGTAGCTCTGCTTTGTCCAGATCAACATCTGCGCTGTAGAAGGTGAATCCTGTATTGCAACCAATCATCTTGCGGCCCACACGTATAAAACTGGAAGTTTCTTGTGGACCTTTAGGTAGAGCTGTTGACCCAGCTGTGTACCATGGCTCTGTGGATTAGAATGGCTGTTTTATATTTTTCTGAAAGCTGCAAAAATTTTCATTGCAACAATAAACCTAAACAAAATAATTCTAAAAAGAATTAATAATGTTTTATTCATTTTATCATCATTCCCATAACATTTTTGTGATAGTATTTAATAGAAAATAATATTTAAAATTTTGTTTAATTGTAACTCTTCATGTTTAAGATTAATGAAAAGAAAAAGAAAGTCACTGTTTTTTTTTCCCATTGTGGGGAACAAACTGTTCGTTCTCTGTTGGAGACCAGCTCCCAACGACAAACAAATCTAAGTTATATAATCTTTTTTTCTCAGTTCTTGACAAATATTTACCTAAACAAAACTGTTACAGAATAAAATGAGATAAAAACATTATTACAATAAAAATGTGCTCATAAGAAAATAAATGAGGTTTTGAAAATTTGTTCAGATAAAAAGTTGTTTCTATTACAGTGCCGTTGCATGTTCAGTGAAAACAGAATAGTGACAGCTGCTAAAAACAAATAGAATAAATAAATAGATACAAGCAAGATTAAGTTAGAAATGTTTTTATTACACTGATGTAGCCATGATTCATAATTTTTCTGCCCTTACGTGTCAGGCCTATCTTTAATCCTGACAGGTGGATCATTCGGACCAAGGACAGCTGTTTATTATACGTCCTCTGTTAAATGAAGCCACCATGTCACTCTGAAAGCACCAGAGACTAATGAGCTTCCATCAGTATGAAAGAGATCTTGAGAATGAGGAGGGACAGACAAGAGGGAGACCATTTGGTATTAATGAAAATGGAGTACACCCTTTAAATGGTGAAGGTGTTTTAGTATTTGGATCAAACATGCATGAATGAAAGCATTGTTATGGTTCACAAAACAAAATGATTAAGATGCTTTTATCATCTCTCCCCAAGGAGGGAGTTATAGCAGTGCTTCAGATAATAATTCACTTATGCTTTTATGTGCCTGAAGTGCTTGAAGGAATTTTGTTCTGTTTCCTTTTCAACTGCCTGCAGTTATGCCGGTGAAAAAGATGCTGAAAACAAAGCTACGTGTGCATGAAATCTTAATGTCAGTTTGTTTACCTGTCTCTTTGTAGCTTGTGTTGGTTTTTATTTCACAGAAAAAGATTGTTTTTACAGCTACTTCAGCATTTTTGACCATTTTAGATGGAGCTTTGTTCTGTGAACAAAAGCCCTTACCAGCCCTCTCTGATGATGTTCAAAAATACACGACCAAGTCCATGTTTTGGCTCCAACCATCTAGTTTATAAATGTTGTATAAAATGCAAGCCCAAGGTCGTCAGTTAGAAAGTCCTGGGTGGATTTTATTCATTCATTAAAAGAGACTGCAGGGGAGTGTAAAAAGCTCCTTGGAGACACTTTTCCCTCTGGCCAAAGTAAAACCTCTCCTGAACTGGTTCTTCTAGATAGAAGCACAAAATCTAATGGACAGGGTTAAAATGCTGCAGCCTTACTGAACAACTCTGGTCACTGGTTGGTGTTTCAGATACACCTTTGCAGAACACAATGATACAAATGGCAGAGTTAATCTGTTTGGATGAGTGGTTCTCTTGTAAAATTTTATTTAAATGTTGAACCAGTATGTTCAGGAGAAAATCCAACTAATAAAATATGAAATAAGACACACGCTTTGTTTTCTACAGCCTTTGGCATTCACATCAGATTCAAATAATGCCTTACATTGGTTACATTTTCTAGTGAGATAAGTAAGAAAATTTTATTCATATAGCACTTATCACTGACATAAAATCACAAAGTGCTTCACATAGATCAAAACAAAATAAAACTAAGTCATAAAATCATAATGATCTCAAAACAACATTATTATAAAACTTCATAAACAGATGAAAGATTAAAAATTTGAGTTAAAAATAAGAAAATAAAAGGTTTAGTTAAAAGCAGCTTTAAATAAAAGGGTCTTTAGCTGTTTTTTAAAAGTGTCCAGACTGTCAATGCTGCGTAAGGATAAAGGAAGATCATTCCAGAGCCGGGGTGCAACAGTCTGGAGGGAGCGACCACCTCGACTTTTATATCTGGTCTTTGGATCTTCTAGAAGGTTCTGGTGTGTGGACCAAAGGGCTCGGGTTGGGGCATAAGGCTTTAACGGTTCAGTAATAAAGGGAGGAGCTTGACCATGTAGAGCATTGAAAGTTATAGTCAGGATTGTAAAATGAACTCTAAAGTTAATGGGTAACCAGTGCAGAGACAGCAGAATAGGAGTGATGTGTGCTCTTCTGGTTGCTCCAGTTAGGAGCCTCGCTGCAGAGTTCTGGACCAACTGAAGGCGGTCAAGGGCTTTTTCGTTAAAACATTTTTTATGAGAAGGATGGTCGTTGTTTTTGCTAATTTGCTGCTTGAAATCATTTTAAAACTGAATGATATTAAAACAATTGGTGAAATTACTGACATGTGTCCGGAAATAAACATCAGCCCTGTTATCAGTTAATATTTTTCAACTTTTCCACAGAAACACTTGATTGTAATGATATATACTGTAGGTACACAATAATCAAAATATGCAAAATTTCAATAATTATACTTGAAAATATATATTTTCAGAAAGGGCACTTGAGCCATTTTTGTTTCTCCTTAGATAATTTCAGATTATTTCATGAAATAAAACCTAGATTTACTTGTTTTACTGCCTGTTGCTGAATCTCCACTGTCACAAAGGAAGAACCCATTCTTTATCTTCATCTCTGGCCAAAAATGACCCTTTAATAATTTTTTTGTCTCCTCTGCTTATCAATGGTTTATTTAAAAGTGCAGCATGTAAGAATATAGAGATAATTTTACAGTGAGAAAATCCCAAGAGTCTAATGTTTCAGTCATTTAGGAAGGAGGTTTATACTGCAACATTTCATATCCAGCTGTGGGGATTGTCAGTTTTTCTCCTTTAAAAACAAAGGAAGGAGTGACGTAACAACTGTTTACCATCAGTGGCTGTGGGGGTCCCGTGTCTCCTGGGAGCTAACACTGCAGCACAGACAATGGTACTTTGATGGCGGCTGACAAAAAGCTCCAGAGTTGTTTAAAGGGGTTGAAGTAACCAAATTTTTCCACAGGATGTAATTTTTACTTCATTTTTACATAATGAACCTTCAATGCTATTGTAACACTTCTGGAGTCGTTACAGTATACTAGGACCAGTTAGGTTCGACTACTAGAGCAGGATGAAGGTGACTTGTCATAAAAAACCCACAGACCAGAAAATAAGTTTAAATCACCGGCTTATTATTTTTAGAAAAAAACAGAAAATAGACAGTTGACATACAATTCACAATACACATAAAACAATTAACACCAGGGAAATAAGATATTTTAATTTTCCCCTTTTTGTCCAGTAGTTCCCATTTATCCTATTTGTCTCAAAACCTTTAATTTGGCTTTAAAAGGATGCCATTTTCAACCTAGGTTGTTGTTTTATTAATTTCAAGTTCTAAGTTCAAGTTTGTTCTTTAATCTATTTAAGTTAACACTGTGTTATTTTAAATCTAGTTTAGTTCTTTAATTCCAAAATTTAATTTAATTTTGGTTTAGTTCACCTTTAAATTTCAATCATTTCCTATTTGGTTTCACCCACAAAATTTACATTTTCATTAATACCATTATAGCATTGAAATGTATGGTTGACCAAAAATAAATAAAATAAACAGCATAAATGTAAAAACTTAAAACAATTCAGCAAAAGACTGAACAAACCCTTTAAACAAAAAAACAAAACAAAAAAAATTGTATTTCTCCTTTAACCATAAATCCCAGAATTATTCTGAATGGTTATCCCGTGCTTTGTGAGTCCAGCGTTCTTCTGCAGAGGTGTATGGATAAATCCTACCAGATTCCAGTGAAAGAACGCAACATCCAGCAGGGGGAGTTTTTCTCCTTCTGCAAGGCACAGTTCAACGGGTCCGAGGGCGGCTCGCCATCTTGTTTCACGCTTAGGAAATCCAACTCCGGTTCTAGCTCAGCATTTCCCGGTCCAAACCTTAATGGCCTACCATAACGATAGAATAAGGTGCATAAACATTTAAAAATAACACACAGATAGCCCTTAGGTAACAGTAAAAGTCTGTTTTTTTTAGCTCATTTAGTCCTCAACGAGGTGGTGCCAACATGGCGCCCTGAAAACACATCAACGGCCTATGAACTACCGCCTGTGTGTGGAGTAAGCACAAATTCAATGCTGAAATCAACCATTTTAACATTAAACAACAGAAATCTGCTACCTTGGCTTTCCATTTACATGAAATTAGCAATATAATACAACAAAACATTTCTTTTATCAAATAAAATACAGTTACTGAACTCACCAAGTCCCGTTCAGTTATGTTCACAACATCACCAAGGCACAGCCGGTCAGGAAACAGAAATACCTTCTCCAGTCTCTCAAAATGGCTTTATGTGGACTTCTAGGTTGGTATTTAATATATATTTTTTCTCATTTACGCAGCAGCTCCGCAAGGACTGTCTGCATCTCTTCCTCCTGCAGCGCCAAAGTGAAAGAACTACCCGGTTGGCTGTAGCGGATCATGAGTCACGCTGCAACGTGCCCTTCAAATTAAGAGTTTGAACAGATATTTTTGCTTTTTTTTCTGAATTAACATAAAAACCCATGAATTTGCAAGTTCTTAACCTTTTAACATGTTTTTAAACACAAATAAAATAAATATAAAACTACTGATGTTTTTAATGAGTCGTTTTAACCATTAAGATCCATTTATTGACTATTTGTAACCTGTAATATATTTCTTTTGACTGTTTCTATTAACAGGCTTTTATTTATTGGGAGCTATGTTAACCAGGGTTACACCATCACAATTCATCAAATCACCAGATTAACTCTCAAATGTAAGGATGTTTGTTTAAACCTATTTAATTTTTTTAAACAAAAGGAACAATCAGAGCAGATAAAAAATGAGATGCATGAACTGAACTGAATAAATAATAAGCCAATAGACAGAAATCTCCAGGGTGCACATGTCCACCATATTCTGGGAGAAAAATCTTCACCCCAGTAAATTATTATAAAACTGTTAATAGCATTTTACATAATTCAATTAAGGGATTTCAAGCTCCTGTGCTAAGTATATGTCACGTTCTGCCCCTGCCCTCCTGACTGTGTTTCTCTCCTGCCCTGATTAGTCTGTATTGTTCTCACCTGTCCCTCGTTAACCTGCCCATGTTTCCCTAATTAGCCTTCTGTATTTATACCACCTGTTTTGCTCCTGTCCTTTGTCAGATCATTGTTGCTTGTAGTCCTTGTGTTTTGTTCCTGTCGTTCGCAGTCCTCTATTAAAACCATTTTACTTTTACTGAAGCCTGCATTTTTTACCTCCTGGTCAGCTCTGCCACACATGGTCCGCCGTCATCCACACCCACATCGTGACAGAATGGTCTGACCACAACCTGGACCTGTGGTGAGCTTTGTTTCATCTCCCTGGAGGATTAATTTTTTTACTTTTTCTCCTTTTGCGGAGGGAGATTCGGACTCAGTGTGTTTGGCGCATCCTACCTGTTCTCCGGGGTGGTCGAACCATTGAGGGGGTTCGGCGCATCCTACTCGTTCCCGGGGTGGTCGAATTCCTTCTCCTCTCCTGCTTTCTGCCCCCGTCCCATTATTCTCATGGAAGCCGCGGATCCTGGAGCTTCAAGGGAGTTACACCCCCTACGCACGCTGTTGTTCTCTGGGGTGGTAGGGCTGGTCTCCCCGCTGTTCTCCTGCTTCCCTGCACCCAAGCCTCTGCCTGAAACCCAGCAATCGTGCTGTGCACCTGCTCTGAGCGGTTGCCGAGTGCCTGCCGCCGGTCCTGGTTTCCTCGCGTCGCTCCTACAGATCGTCCATTTCCTGGTCCATGCTGGTGGGGCTTATGCCTGCAGGTCTCATGCTCCTGCAGTTCTCTGCCTGGGTCCCACGCCTGCTCCTCAAGTGTTCCTGTTCAAGTCTCAAGTCGAGTGGTTCCCGTCCCAAGTCTCTAGTCAAGTGGTTCCCGTCCCAAGTCTCTAGTCGAGTGGTTCCCGTCCCAAGTCTCTAGTCGAGTGGTTCCCGTCCCAAGTCTCTAGTCGAGCGGTTCCCGTCCCCAGTCTCTAGTCGAGTGGTTCCCGTCCCAAGTCTCTAGTCGAGTGGTTCCCGTCCCAAGTCTCTAGTCGAGTGATTCCCGTCCCCAGTCTCTAGTCGAGTGGTTCCCGTCCCAAGTCTCTAGTCGAGTGGTTCCCGTCCCAAGTCTCTAGTCGAGTGGTTCCCGTCCCAAGTCTCTAGTCGAGTGGTTCCCGTCCCCAGTCTCTAGTCGAGTGGTTCCCGTCCCGTCTCTAGTCGAGTGGTTCCCGTCCCCAGTCTCTAGTCGAGTGTTTCCCGTCTCTAGTCGAGTGTTTCCTGTCCCCAGTCTAGTTGAGTGTTCCCGGTCTCTTGTGTTGTGTAGCCTTGTGGGCATCTGGTATCCGCCCTTTAGGGGGGGGGGGGTACTGTCACGTTCTGCCCCTGCCCTCCTGACTGTGTTTCACTCCTGCCCTGATTAGTCTGTATTGTTCTCACCTGTCCCTCGCTAACCTGCCCATGTTTCCCTAATTAGCCTTCTGTATTTATACCACCTGTTTTGCTCCTGTCCTTTGTCAGATCATTGTTGCTTGTAGTCCTTGTGTTTTGTTCCTGTCGTTCACAGTCCTCTATTAAAACCATTTTACTTTTACTGAAGCCTGCATTTTTTACCTCCTGGTCAGCTTTGCCACACATGGTCCGCCGTCATCCACACCCACATCGTGACAGTATAACTGAAACAAATGCATCTTAAAATGTTAAACAGATGTTAAACATCCTCATTACTCACAAAAGGTGGCAACATCATCTTTCTTTGAGATTTAATACACATTTCAGTCATTAAAACATAAAGCTTCTGTATTTAGTAAGTCCAGGTTCATTTTTATTCCTCAATGGATAGGACAAATCCTCAAATCCTGCTCTTTTTCATGTTCGTCACCTCTAGCAGCAATACCTCAACTTTACTTGCACCTTGTCGTCCTCAGATGGAGAGGTCCAGGTCGTTCTCAAACACAAGAACATATCGCTTTCTTTCAGGAGGATCATCAAACCTCTGGGGCTCTCTGAGACGACAGGGGGAGTGTTGATTGATTCCACCCCAGAGATTAATCAAAGTATTGATTGTGAGCAGTGTGAGAGAGCACATTGGTGTCAGAGGGAAGCAGAGCAGGCTCAGTAGTCTACAACCTGTTCAGATCCTCATCTCCCAGAGTTCACAGCTGTCCTCCATCAACCTGCTGACAGGCAGCCAAGATTTATTCGTTTCCATCAAATACATCCTAACTTAAGAGGTGAAAGCAATAATTGTCTCAAAAGGTTCAAAATAAGACATTTTTTTTACCACTTAGCTATGATTCATGAAGTAACGTTTTATGTTCATGTATTTTATGTGGTTAGAATAAAAATTAACAAAGGTGAAGGTGGAGTGGTTGAACATGAAGCAGCAGAAATAAAAACATTAAGTTATGCAGATAATTACTGTTCCCTGAAGGAGAGGAACGAGGTACAACACATATAGTATGGGATATCATGCCCTCGCGTGGTCTGACTGAAGACACCATTAAGCACACCTTTAGGCCACATGACGTGTGACGTAGGGGGCAGGGTCCATCTGCTTATAAATCACTTGTAAGTCGCTTTGGACAAAAGCGTCTGCTAAATAAATAAACATAAACATAAACATACCCCTACTCACACATCATGCTCCAGTTCGATAGCCGCTCTTCACCGAGCCCAGCTGCACGGCGGCGCAGCAAAGGTGTTGTGCCTCATTGCCCTTCTTCAGGGAACAGTAGTTATATACATGTTCCTTTCAGTCGATTCCCTTGGTACAACACATGTAGTATGGGACATATGTACATGCCCCGCAGAGCAGTCATCAGAAAATCAGGCCCAAAAGGTGATGCTTTAGTGTGAGCCTTGTGATCCAGCAGACAAAACAGAGTGAGCCAGCAACAGTGCAGTCACACCCAAATGGTAAAACCGAGTAAAAGTGTGCGGTGAAGACCAACTGGCAGCAGCGCACGTCACCCAACGAGACTCCTCTGAAAAGGGCCCAAGATGCAGCTACACCTCTGGTCGAATGAGCTCTCACTCCATGAGGTAAATGGAGACCCTTGCTGACATACAGTAAGCAAGAGAAATAGCCTCCACCACCCAATGGGACAGTCTTCGTCTGGATAGAGCTTTACCCCTGGCTGGATTGGCAAAACACACAAACAGCTGATCACATAACCGCATACTCTGAGTACGGTTAACGTAGATACGTAATGCGCGGACTGGGCACACAAAATTAAGCCTACTTTGTTCCTCTGAAGCAAAAGGAGACGGATGAAAACTAGCCAGCTCAATGATCTTGGAGCTGAAACTAGGTGCAAGCACTTTTGGGAGATAAGAAACATTAGGTCGTAATGTGATCTTAGAGCCATCCACAGAGAATTGCACACATGACGTGTGCACGGAAAGTGCATGCAGGTCGCTCACACGTTTGGCAGACGCCAGTACAAGAAGCAGAGCTGCTTTGTATAAGATTTTAGTATCAACCGACTCAAATGGTTCAAACGGTGCATCACACCGAGCATCCAGCACAGCTGTTAGGTCCCAGGAAGGCTTGGTTTAATTCCTGGTGTCAGTCTGTGGACCCTTTTCATGAAGCAAACCTCTAAGGGGTGTGTACCTGGTGTCACTCCATCAATGCCAACATGGCAAGCAGAAATGGCAGCCAAGAAAAAATAGTAGTATTGACTTTATTTTACGTCCCTCAGCTCTACTAGGAGTATGATGGTTAAGGAGGGAGTAAAAAAAATGAATTGTGAAAAGAACCAACCAAATTACCTTATTTTTCATTAGCTCTTGTTTCATCGGACTAGCCCTGTAAGGGTACAGGAGTTGGATCAGTAAGCGTGATATCATGTGTTATCAGGTGAGTTTGACTAGGTACGTCAGAAAACCACTCTGGGAAGGAGTGAAGTAGGCGAGAGAGCTCCATCTGCTGGGAAGAGGTGAGATGGCTCAAACTAGAGAGTGCTTCAGAGTTACTAAGTCGGGGAGTTATCGGAGGGCTCAGAATCCACGGTACAGCGTCGTCTTGCGAGGTATCGGCAACTGGGGAATGCCCTCTGCACAAACTAGACAAGACTGAAGCACAGCGTCATCACGGGCACAAAACAACTTCAAACGGTTAATGTGGCAAATCATGGTTTTCCTTCGCATTAACGGAGTTTTAATCACATAGTTACACTCGCTTTGTTTGGAGTGAATCTCAAAAGGACCTTCGAACTTGGGAAACAGAGAAGAACCAACTACAGGACTCAATAGTGAAACTTGGTCACCAGGTTGCAGGGTTCTGAAAACCGACTTTTTGTCAAAGGTTCTCTTCATTTTCTGTTCTGCATCTTTTAGATGTTGCTGAGCCAAGAGGTTTGCCTCTCTTAATCTTTTTTGAAAAGAGTCCACATATAGAGGTACACTAGATCCAGAGAGTGGAACGGGCCATAAAAACTTGTCTTTTAGGGCCTTGAAAGGGCCTCGAGGAGCGTGGCCAAACACCAGTTGGTGAGGACTGAAGCCAGTGGAGTCCTGAATGGTATCTCTAGCGGTGAATAACACAAAGGGAAGTCCATCTTCCCAAGACCTGCCTGTGGTAAAATAGTACTTTTTAAGCATCGTCTTAAGGGTCTGGTGCCATCTTTCAACCACTCCCTGACTTTCTGGATGGTCGCTAGACGACTTATGATGCTTAATGTTCAGGGTCTCTGCCACTTGGGCAAAGATCCGC